AGTAATTAAAAATATAATAATAAATAATTAAAATTTTATATAAATATAATATATAAATAAACTTTTGTACATATTTTTTATATTTACATATATATTTACTTATTTAAATATTCATTGTAAAATTATAATTTGAAAATCATACATCACATTACAATTATAACATTTTTTAAAAATAATTACAACTTTAGGGGTAAGAATTTACCAACTTAACTTTTGATCTAAAAATACACATATAACATAATTTATAAGCATTGGGTCAAAAAAAGACCAATGCTGCAACTATAGTATTTAAAAATAAAATTCTTTCCAAAAAATCAATTCCGTCGTAACGGTGGAAGGAGTCAAGCATGGCAGCGCGGCCGAACTAGAAACGGAAAAAAATACATAAAAACGGAATAAATAAAACAAAATTCCATTTGGGGTAAATTAAAAATAAAAATCTACGCAATTATGAAGTGAAAAAAAGTCAATCCTCTTTCATTTAGTTTTATCTTCCGCGTCGGCCTCCATTTTCCTATCTGCGCATCTCTCTCCGGCTTCCCCGTCTCAGATCTCCAGCTCGACGGGCAGTCGCAGTTTCTCACTGCAGTGATCGGAGTGGAGAGTGTTCGCTTCACTTCATCGGTGCTCGATTTCCGGTATTGATTGATATGTTCTTTTCTTGTTGTTTTTTAGTGTTTGATTTGCGATTCTTGTTTCTGTTTTTTCGATTTTCTGGTTGTTTACCGACATGCAATCGATCAGTGCGATCAGGAATATTACGGACTGATTTCCTGAATGAATTTAGCACTTAATTTGTATGGCTTTTCTGAGTCTCTTCATCGATTTTACCTTTTCTTAATCAGCAATCGGTTGATCTACCTGCTGGTTGGTTGAGCTCCTTCGATTAGACAATATAACTTGCAGATTGTACTGTTAGCTCAAGTTTTAGCTGATTCGTGCTAAATTCTGTCATCTAACCGTGATTCCAAGTTATTTGAAGTTGATTGACTGGATTGAGTGTGTGTGGAAACTTTTGCTATGCTGTACCGTTGTTGTGCTAGGAACTTCGAAATTGATTTCTAGTTTTCTACGTTTTCTTACCGTTTGACTTGTTTATATGCTGCTTATATAATTCGCTATGGTAATAAGTATGTTATAGTGCTGGAAAATGCAGATGATGTGTTGGTGACAAGGTATTATTATTCAATTTGCTAAGATGCATTCGGATGTCTCTAGAAGTTATGTGTCCCCGAAAAAGTTTAAATTGTGTTCACTCTAGAATATTATGCTTAAGAGTGAGGCCCTTGCTGAGAATAATTGTCCATCTAATGAAAGGTTGGAATCTCAAATTGTCAGTGATTCTATGGATTATAGTATATATTCCATGTCATTGTCATTCACTTTAAACAGATTTGAGGTAACTACTTGTTCTGTGAAAGTGAAACAAAAATGATTTACGTGAACATGGCTATTTAGATTGAAGACATGGATTTGTTGAAAGCATGGTTATGCTTTGATTATAACATGATAGAATGAGATAGGCCTGCTTAAATAGTTCATTGGGTATGTGATAATGAGCCATTATGTCATTCAATGTGAGTCAGCATGGTTGCTACTTGAATCTTTTGGTTACATTGATTCTAGTACAAATCTGGTAGGATCATTGTGAATGAATATTTAGTCTAGGGTCAAGAGAATCTATTGCTTGGAGTAGGAGATAAGATATTGCATGTTTCCTAAGAAGATATTGGAAACAAAGGAAAAAAAAAATGGCAAATCACTTATATTTGGATTTTAAGCGAGCAATTTTTCTTTTTCATTGTGTCCAGGGTTGGCTTACAATCTGAATATATTCAAAATAGAATTCTTCTATCGATAATCAGTAAAAACACAGTTAAACATGTCAGAAATTTTATATGAGGGGACTAATTTGCTCAGATTTTGAGGCTTTATATTCTTTTACCTTTCTGTTCTATTTCACTTTAAAACCCTTATAGCTTATTCTTATAATTGATTTTACAGTTGACCATTAAGAACTAGAGAAATCTTAAGGGATCATTGAATCATGAGTTGCTTCAGCTGTTGCGAAGAAGATGAAATACATAAAGCTGCTGATAACGGAGGGCAATACACTGTTAAAAATGCAACAGGTAATGATGGCTTGAAATTGACATCAAGTCTTGTTATTCTGTAATCAAAATCAATGTGAAGCCTAGATACTAATCACGTTGATTGTAGTGAATTAGTTGAATGAATCATGAATAAGTTGGAAGGTTTAGAGTTTACGTTATGGTGCTTGACTGCATAAATAGAATTTGCCTTTAGTTTGTTTTCTATATTTTTTATTTTTTAATTATATTTTATCCTTTCTTGTTTTGTCAGCAAGATTTAGAAAACAAGTTCCTTCTAGTTCTACCTATTTATTTTACCACTTTTAAGTGATCTTCCTTCTTTTTTTTTCTTTTTTTTTTTTTTAATGGAACTATTGGTTTGATCTGAGTTGAATTTCATCACACAGGAAGTGATGGAAACTATCATACTTCAGAAACTACATCTAGAAGTGCTCAAGCTGTGAAAATTCAGCCCATTGAAGTCCCAGAAATTCCAGCAGATGAACTAAAGGAAATTACTGATAACTTTGACACGAAATCTTTGATTGGGGAGGGGTCATATGGTAGAGTTTATTATGGAGTTCTTAAGAGTGGGCAGGCTGCAGCAATCAAGAAGTTGGATGCTAGCAAACAACCTGATGATGAATTTTTAGCCCAGGTTTAGATGGCAGATATGATTTATTCTGTTAACTGCTTCTTAAACTTTATACCACCATTCCACATTTTTATGCCAATTGATGCTTGGATTTTCAGGTTTCTATGGTGTCAAGGCTGAAGCACGAAAACTTTGTTCAATTGCTTGGTTACTGTGTGGATGGGAGCTCTCGTATACTTACCTATGAATTTGCATCTAATGGATCGCTTCATGATATTCTTCATGGTATGTGAGATTATGCTTCTCTTATTACTCCTGTTGATTAAATTTGATACTTGAAGCTAGTGTTATTTCATAATGCAGTAACAAAATTAAGAATCTGTCACACTTCTCAGGCCTCAAGTAATTTTTCTCATGCAGCACAAAGTGCCTGAACAATATTGTTTTAGTAAGGTTTTTACCTCTTTTGACATAAAATGTGGTTTATATAACATTATTCTCTTATTGCAGGAAGGAAAGGTGTGAAGGGAGCACAGCCTGGGCCTGTTCTTTCATGGGTGCAACGAGTAAAAATTGCTGTAGGAGCTGCAAAAGGGCTTGAGTACTTACATGAAAAGGCTGACCCACACATCATTCATCGTGACATTAAGTCCAGCAATGTATTGATATTCGACGATGATGTGGCAAAGATTGCTGATTTTGATTTGTCTAATCAAGCTCCCGATATGGCAGCACGTCTTCATTCCACTCGTGTTCTTGGAACTTTTGGTTATCATGCTCCTGAGTAAGCTAATTTTGCATTCTTTTAAAATTGCTTTTTTTAGCCAGATATCCTTTTGGTTGTTGAATAACTTAAGGTCAGTGGATAAGCCAAATTTAGTAATTTAGATTTGATAGGAATGCCCTGGGATTCTTTTCAACAATCATGAATTGCACACCTTGATGAAGAAACCTTCCATCCGCTGGCTGAGATGTTATGGAAAAAATCTTTCCTCTTTTTTTTTTTTTTTTGAAAAAAACTTGACAACTTAAAATGAGTTTAATGTGGCAATTTTCTGGTTCTATAAAAGCTTGAACTGATAAAACTTGTATTGAGCACCATCTGTTGTGTGGTTGGCAGATATGCAATGACTGGGCAGTTAAATGCCAAGAGTGATGTTTATAGCTTTGGCGTTGTCCTGCTTGAGCTTCTGACAGGGAGAAAACCTGTTGATCATACATTACCTCGTGGACAGCAAAGTCTAGTTACATGGGTATTTTTTACCTACTTTTTATTTTCCCAGTTTTAGCTCTGTGCTTTATTTTAAAATTTGTTGAGACCCAGGAGAATGCTCCTTTATTTTCGTGGCTGATTAATGAGGTTTTGGAATATGGTTAGGCTACGCCGAAACTCAGTGAAGACAAGGTAAAGCAATGTGTCGACGCAAGACTTGGAGGAGATTACCCTTCTAAAGCTGTTGCAAAGGTATTATATACTTTGTTTTCATTTTTATTTTCATAGTTGGGGTCTGGGAATGTTTAAATTATACTGTT